TATTTAGGGATGGAGGAAATAACTTACTGTTCGGAAGGCTACAAGAGAGAGAGAAAAAAAGGCACACGTTTAAGCAATATGTACATGATGTTAAGTATATCGATCTGCTACACAGGAAGCTAGCGTACATCGATCTATGTAGCCAAGATAATAAGCTAACCTAGTTAATTTCTTTCCGAGTTGTACGAAAGCACAGGTATTTTAGCTAATTATTAAAGAAATAAAATCCCAAGCTAATTAAGCATACAGATATATATATGTTGTTATTAATTTGTTAATTTGACAGTGCACAAACGCATGCATCAGCCCAATATGGAGTAGAAAATTAACACATATATAGGTAAATCTGAGATATAGTAACTTACTAGCTTAGATAGAGGACTTCCAATCCATCGCCGATCTGTGGATCCATCGAGATTTGTATTAGGTATAGCTTCAGATCCAAAGAAGAGAAGCAGCTAGCGCGCTGAGCTCGAGGTAGGTAGCTTGCTTAGCTCAGGGCTCAGCTTCGTCAAGCTCGATCTGTGCAGTCTCGATCCGGCCGGCCGGACGGCAGCAGGGAGAGCACCCACCATGGGCCATGGCCAGCTTGCTTTGCTAGCTACAGGTCTCAGGTGAGGCTGCCGGCTGCCATGGCCAGCTTGCTTATGCCGGATGCGCCATGGCAGGCAGCAGGCATGGTGGGTGGTGGGTGCAGGTGAGAAGAGGAGAGGAAAGAAAGAGGCCCCTGCAGCTGCAGGAAGAAGAAGATGAGGTTGTTTGGTTTGCTTTGGCTGCTTTGCTTGCATACTTAAATTTGGTGTGGCTGTGGCTGTGGCTGCTCGCTGGTACTGGTGGGTGGAGTGGAAATGGAATGGAGGACTATTTATACTATATTGATTACACTCCTAATTAACCCTAGCCGTGCTACTGCCACTGACTGCTCCATATGGAGTACTGTACAGTACAGACTCTACTGCAATACTCCTACTATACTCCACGGCCGCCCTGAGCTTTGATTTTTTTTTTCTTCTTGTCGACACTGAGCTTTGATTTGACTAGTCCACACCCCATCCATGGGTCCCACCAATGTCAAAAGCTGCTGTCCCTCCCTTGTGCTTTTGTTTCCTTCATCGATACTACTGTAAATTTGCCACTCCGATCCATTCATCCATCGCGCCGTCGACGATCTTATCCTTGCCACCGCTGGCAAGCTCCTCGACGATCGCTGCAGGGGCTCGCCGGCGGACGAATGGAATCGCCGACGCAGGCACGGACTGACGACTGTCCAAGCAGAAACGGAGGTCTCGCTCGCTGGAAAAGCATCCTCCCAACATAATTTGAAAAAACAACTCCTAAATCCTTGATGAAAACCTCTGCATGCTTCTTTCCAGATCACGATTTCCTCTTTACTTGTGCCAAAGAGCTAGGTAAGCCGCCGATCGCACCTGATTTAATTTGGAGCATCCAACACACAAAGAAAAAGCGTGTCAAAGACCCTCCTGTAGCTGATACGAAAATCAAGTCTCCTGTAGCTGATATGTCCCTACCTGATTCGGCGGGCACTTCACTCACACACTAGTATTATGAGTCATGTACTAGTATTATGAGTCATGTGTGATAGATAGATAGATAGATAGATACTGTGATGTGTCTGTCTGTTATTCAAGAAACCTTCAAACAGGTTCAACTGCATGTGCCTTCGCCTTTTTTTTGCTTTGCTGATCAAACCTGCATCACAAAATGAACATGCATTTTCTAGTAATTGCAGTGAAGAAGCAACCATACAATCAACTGAAGAGAGGTTTACTACTGCAGTTGCTTTCGCTTTTCTCAACTACCCCCTCCGTCCCAAAAAAAAGTCCAATCCTAGCTATGAACCTAGATATATACGTGTCCAAGTTCATAGCTAGGGTTTGGTTTTTTTTGGGACAGACTAGTATATAGGTAAAAAGGGTTACCTGAATAACTAGTGTGACACCTGGATAATTCATTCCCCGTGTTGAAATATCTGAGGCCACCAGATCAAGCGACTAGAATCTCGAAATTCTTCTAATATCCGAGTTCTATAGTGCTGAGGCTTTCTTGAATGAATTTCTCGGACATTTAGCTTCAAATCTCGAAGCATGATATACATAAATTCAGTCATCATGGCAGTTGTGCAGAAAACAATTAATCACCTGGGATGAGAAAGGCTAAGTAAATTTAACTTATTTAAGTTCTTAGTCAATCATATTGCCTGGTCAAAAGAGGGATGAGAGCACCTTATAGTCCACTTCCTGATCACCTTATAGGCTATAAACCATATGAAAATGCTGCTCGTGTGGCAAAACGAGATAAAACTGCTCCACATAAGCTCAAGAACACCAAATATCAAGGGACCAGTACGCAACTAAAATTCATTTCCATGGGAGAAGATAAAAAAGAGACTATCGTAACAATATTTTACTTTTGAGCTAAAAATCATTAGAAATATAGTTTATATTGCCGTACAAAGTGTACAAATGTCTTAAATAGTCAAATGATAAACACAATGACAAGAAAGACATATGGTCTAGAATATCTATTTATCTGGATGTCGGCATCTATAAACAAAATGTTTTACAGACACCCCTGTTTGTGCATCCATGGAAATCAAAAGTGCTGAACAATGCCGACCCGGCAAAAGTGCTGAACAATGCACGAATGACCTAATGGAAGTCCCTTCCATAGATACAATAATGCAAATGTGACCTCTTTTAATTGGCACATTAAGATACATGCTAACAGATGCTCTAGGTAATGCAAACTAAGAAAATTGATCACAGCACATTTCTGTACTTGCAGGAGTCAGAAAAAATGAGCATATTGCAGATGAGAAAAATAAAAGATTAAGGTGATATATAATACTAAATATACTAGAGTAGAACTGGAAGCATAGACCTTAGTAGGAGTTTCAACAGCTCCCAAGCCCATTGTATCAACAAAAACATCATCCCTTTTTAAAACTAGTTGCGAAACCCTTCGAACCTTTCATTGACAAATTCAGATATGTGGTTGTCAACCAATACAGAAACAGATAGATAAAAATATAGAGACTACTAGTTCTGTTGGCCATGCTGATTACAGTACCCCTTTTGGGAGTAGTGTTTGTCTTTGACGTAGCAAACTATCAACAATCTTTTCAATGTCTGTAAGAAAACCCAAATCTAGCAAATGAACAGCTTCATCCAATACAAGCAACTCCAATCCCATCAAGCGAGCAGATAATAAAAATTTGTTCTCAATGTGATCCTACAGTCTACCAGGTGTAGGCTGTAGCAACTAAAATCTTCAAGGGGGGAAACACAAGATATAGTTCAGACAAACGACAAACAGTTGTCTGTACATATCAAGCATCAGTTACAGTGAGTGCTTGTACTGATGTCAATGAAACAGCACAACTTGTTTGTTAGTCACATGGTCTGTATCTCTTTACGCATAAAGTAAAAATGTAAAATCATCTATCGGTCATTTTATCATGATGAGTGATGCTGAATACTATGTTCTTTCATTTTATTATTGTTAATTCTTGTTGTACATCAGTGCAATAAAACTGTAACTCCAAGAAGACAATCTGTACCAAGTACCAACTTCTTAGTTCATATACCATGATACGTACAAAAGTGCATGACTCCTCTTCGCTGGAAGCTCTAAATTTCGCAAACCTCAAATCATTCTTTGATGTTTTTGTTATATCTTCATCATCCTGTCAAATCGCCCTGCTGCCACTGGGTACAACCTCTCTTTGTTTAGCGAGGAATAGACTTCAGAGCTCCTGCCTTTGTACATAGTTTTTTTTCCTTTTGCTTTTGTTTCGCTTTGTTTTCAAGGCTTCTCGCCTTGACTCGACATTCTAATATCGAGATTCATGTATTTTCTTCCAATCTTAATGAAATTTAGTCAGCGTTTCTTCCGCCGACCCATCAAAAGGTACAACCTCTCTTTGATTAAACAGGGAGGGAGAAATCCGACCACTGGAAGACCTCTAGAGATAAGCAGCATCAGCATCATCGATGCATCACCATGCACCTGGAACGGAGGAATAACTGAGCAGCATCTCTTGGGACCAAAGAAACAGAAAGATGCCTCTGTTCGCAAAGGAATGCCAGAAGCCAAACTCCATTGCCTCCACCAGCACATAAATTAGACTCCAAACTTCTCTGATCTACCTTGAATCTTAGTGCCACCGATAAGATTTTGAACTACAATTCCTCGATGGTACTTCAACCAAACAGTTGCCTTTGCCTCAGCAGTGAGCTGGATGGCAAGCTCTCTTGTAGCCTTGTAGCCTTTTAGGGCAGAAGGATAAGGGGAAAAATATTTCATCGGAAAAAAAGGAAACCGGAATATTCATAATATACTGCTTAAAATATGTCAGGCTACTGTCCTGAAACCAAGATTCAATGTGTGTGATGATACTTAATGTAATACATTTTATAATTAAATTCGAATTCCAAATTAAACAGGAAAGTCGTAGCATTAGTCTCTCCACTTAACCTCCTGTCCACACATCAACAAAAGCTTTCGTATTACACTATTATATTTATATGCAACTAATTTTAAAATTTATGAAAAAGAATTAAGGGGCAAAAAGGATAAGATTAAGAATAAGGGAACATATTTCATTAAAAAAAAGGGATACCAGAGTACTCAGAACATTCAAAATATATTACTATTGTATAGCACATGCTTACATTACATATGTCCAGTCCATGCTACTGGCCTAAAACTAAGATGCAGGAAACAAGAGAATTTTAATGCATGCCTTGAAACATTTGAAACTGGGGTAGTTCATAGCCAAAAAAGAGAATAAACAAAAATATTCAGAACATTCAGCATATACTATTGCTACTCAGCAAATCACAGGAATTAAGACCGGAAGTGAATTATATGAGGTGACGCCATCACCTTAGCTCTGATCTGGATGGCAAGCTCTCTTGTAGTAGGGCAAAGGATAAGGGAAAATATTTCATTGCAACAAAAAACAAAGTAAGCAGGAATATTCAGAACATTCAAATATATTAATATTGTATAGCAAGCTTTACATACGGCCTGGAACCAAGTTGCAGGAAACAAGAGAAATTTAATGCATGCCATGAAACGATTGGAACATTCAGCATATATTATTACCAGTACCATACAGTGAATCACAGTTTTGCACCGAGCAAAATTAAGACCGGAAGTGAACTGCATGAGGCGACGCCATCACCAATCCCTCTGTAATTTGCTTCCTCAGCAGCTCCTGCTCCTCGATGGTCTGCGGATACCTTGACGGAGCAACCTTGATCTTGGGATCCAACTCTTCACAGCACTTGAGCACCTTCCTGTCATGCAGGGATATGTTCTCTAGGTTAACCGCAGCTTCCATGACGTGCCTGATGTATCCCATAAAGTTCTCATTTGGTTGGAAACCATAGATGGTGAGCTTAGTCAGGTTGTAATGCCTAAAACCATCAGGTGCGGATGACTCCCATTCCACGTTTGTTTTGTCACAGTAACCCTGTTTTTCCCGTTTCACCTTGTCTGTCTCAATCTCACACCAATGGTCCCAAACTGTGATGCACATCTCCTTCAGGGAGGGTGCAGCCTCGAGAAAGAATCTTGTCTAAGCGATATCACATTCTTCTGGGAGTTCATCCAGACTCAAAACTTGCAGATTCTGAAGAACAGGCTCCAGCAGTTTTGGGCACTCCGGATGAACCCAAATCTGCAATACATACCAATAATAAAGGATCCAGATTAAGTTGAGAACGAGGAACAAATAACATGGGAGAGAGGATTGCTTAAAGTAATTATCTTTTCACTTGCAAAGTTGAGGTGCAGGTCTTTTACGAAGAGGATATTAGCGAGGAACTGACTTAACCTAATAACCTTATGCCATCTCATGGCCACATTAGTGAGGCTTAGGCTTGAAAGCAATGGGACGTTGCAAAAAGACAAGGTTCTTGGGGATAGACCCACACACCAAAACCCAGCCGTTTGAGGTTCGGTAGGGAGTTGAGCTCGATTAGTTCTAAGTTGGCATTGGAGATATCAAGCTCAACAAGGCGTGGGTGTTCCAACTACAGCAGCAATACGCTATCCTCAGTTTGACACAAGGCCAAACGCAGATACTCTAACCGTTTGCATGTGGCGATGATGTTGGGAATGTCAGTTTCAGCAAAGCTTTAAGTTGCGTAGGTGGAGACGTGTAAGGCCGGCAAATGCATCAGTACAGGAACAAAAAAATGTCATCAGCTGCTTCCCATCGCGGCGGCGATCATCAATAGTTGAATAGTCCGGCGGCTTCTCTGTCAGAATGTTGAACTCAGCGCTGTGGATGTTGTGGGTGGCCATGGCTCGGGCAACAGCCTTGCCAATGGTGAGACAATCATAGTATCTCAAGTAGAAACCTATGCTGAGCTTGCGAAGGGGAATATCTTGTCTTCTGAAACTGAGAATGTTGTCAGTTGCACCAGCCACAGCAGCGTTCATGGGAATTGTATCCTTCAAGGTGGCATAGCCACAACGGGGCACAAAGGAATTGATCCGAATATGTAAGTTTGAGAGCATATGGCGGAGATGGAGTGTCCTCTTAGAAAGGAGGCAGGTTCTGACAGCGTCGGGGGTGTTGAGGCGGTCCAGGATGTTGAGCAGGACATCTTCAGGTAGCTTGGTGAACCCATCCAGCATCACGGGATCTGATTTCTGCATCAAGATATTGCAGCAACCCACTAGAGCATCAATCCATGGATCAACAGACAAGAGCATCAATCCATGGATCAACAGACAAGAGAAGATTGAGAGATGCAATGCAAATTAAGGAAGAGGAAGATGTAATGCTGCTCACGTTGCGGTTGCAACGACTACCCTTCTTCTTGTTCTTCATGGGCTGTCTAGTTCCGATGAGCGAGGTCAAGATCGAACTGGCGACTTGCGTCGACTACCTTTCCACCCCTTGTCGTTCGTTTGAGACAACAAAAAGGTCACACTTTGAATTCAATCAATCGAAGAAGAGGCATGCATTCGCGGCAATGGTGGTGTGGTGGCGGAGGACAAGGGAAGAATGGCCGGCGTTAATGGAGGAGGCGGCGGCGGCGGCGGCGGTGGCGGTGGCGGCGATGGTAGGGAGGATTGGGGACGGCGACGTTAGGTTAGGTACCCTTGTTATTATGGGCCTCCTCTCGAATCATCTTCCTAATTGGGCTAGCCCATTGTGTCTGATTGGGCCTTTCAAACAAGAGATATCATTGGCATATAGAAAATAAGTCTACTTTGCGTTCATCATCTTTCGTCCCATGTCATCCTCGCTCTCATCACATATTTTCTCTTCTTTTCTCTCCATCTCTTGTCGGCAAGGAGCAGTAGTGATTTAATAATATCTAAGTCTGATGATATGCGAGCTCACGCTGCGCTAACAGAATAGACATGTTAAAATTAGCTCATTCGAACCTTCCGTTTCATCTCTTCATCAATATATATGTTTGGTGTTTGAGACTTCTGCACCGGGAGATCATTTATCTCATTTCAGAAATACTCTTCCCATGGGGCAAACAAGGGTTCAGATTTGTTCTTGTCATCTCTGACGTCAAGTGACGAGGACATTTCAAGGCATCTTGGTTGCTTTACATTAAAATGACTTGGCTGTAAATAACGGTTACTATAAAAATTTACATTAGTATTGATAATTGCTTAATTGGTGAAGCAGTTAGCTCCTTATTTATCACTTGGGACTTGGGAGACAAGAATCGTGTCAGCTTATTCACATATAGCGTCACCTAATGTGGATTATTTCCAACTGAACATTTTGGTTGCAGATGATGTCAACCAGGGATTCTTTGTTCATGCCTGCTTCATGCAATGCTTTATGCCTCCCTGGCAAAGTATCTTCTTGCAAATGAATATTACCAGAAAAAGCTGCACTTTTGCCGGTTCCAATTTTAGCCTTGACAAGTACATTTTCACCTACATGCATACAGTGATGAGTGAGGGGCAACCTCTTGATTTCTTGAAGGTTTCAATCATAGCATTTTGAGCTAGATCGAGAGATATAATGGTACCACAAGGTGCTAAGTAGCAAGTGTGGAACTACTGAAGCAAGTAGCATGATCTGTATAAATTTGTGGATGGTAACGCATATTCCAATTTCCAATGAAAGAAAAAAAAAGAGTGCTTTCAAGACACATAGGAAATGCTGTTTCCTGCACACCAGTAGTTTGTACATATCCAGCATCAGTGAGTGCATTTACTGTTAGCGCGGAGATACCACATTCATCAAATTTGATGTCAATGAAACAGCACAGCTTGTTAATCACATGGTAAGTAGTAACCATCTCTGTTTTGAAGTACGCTAGGAAGCAATACGCATAAAGTAAAAATATAAAATCACCCATCAGAGTGTCAGTCATTAACCGCAAGTTAAAAGGGCATCTATCATTGTTTTCTTCCTCATATCACAGTTCCTCAAAGCAGAACTTCGCCATTTCTTCCTGATGGCACTTCTCGCCTCCAATTCATCGTCTGCTGACTCCTCTTCGCTGGAAGCTCCAAATTTTGCAAACCTCAAATCCTTCCTTAAACAGGGAGGGTGAAATCCGACCACTGGCAAGAACTCTAGCAATCAGTGGCATCACCGATGCATCGCTGGACTCCTGATGTCTCTTGGGACTGAAGAGACAGAAATTAAGATGCCTCACTAAGCAAGAGGCGAGCGTCAACAGAGGTGCCGGGGAGGAGCAGGCCGCCGGCGCGGTCGCAGGAGAGGGTGCCGACCGGAGGCAGAGACGAGGACCCCTAGGACATTTAGTAGCAAAATTGTGAGGTTGAATGTGCATAATAGGAAGTTTGATGCATTTAGTGTTCTGTGTTTTTTAGCAACACCCTATTGCAGAGAACAAAATAAAACTATCTCATTGTTAGCTTCGCTAATTATGGGCAATTTTCTGGTTTATGTTTCACACTACCCAGAGTTGCAGTATCAACTAAGAGCTATATTTTCCTATCAATAGGTCACTCTTGTCGTCAAACACTTTGATGATCCAAGGATAGTGAGTGCAGACTTGAAAGATCTTCTTCTTTTTCTTCAATCAATATCGGTTCTTGTACAGTACAAAGAATTCATGTTTCTATTTGAGAACAATCGGGAGGCTATAAACAGAATGCCAAGATCACTTCTGTCAGCTTTTGGTAATAGATCATGGATACCTATTACCAACATACCTTTTCAACTCTGCAAAGGTTTAGGTTTTGCTTCATCCAAGAATGCTGAATCTTCATCATCTGCAACTTTCCAGGTTTACTTTAATATTACAATCTCTTTTGTAATTATATTCATTCTTCTATTTCTGTTGTGCTTATGTTACCGTCTGATTGTGTGAGAACTATCTATTTGATCTTACATTTGTTTTTCTCTACGAATGTTCTACTCAGGGAGACATGTATTCATGAAGAGAACTGTTTTTATCCTTTCTGAATCGACTTTTCAACACATTAAGTTGGACAATGACGAATTCTCCATGTCCATCCGTGAGATGCAAGATAAGCACCGGGTGGATTTTTTTTTGTTTTATATTCCTCTTGGTGCAGAACTTAAACTCTTTGCTGATTAATGCTTTAGTACTCGGGTTACATTTTCAGTTTAGTTACTAAACGCCATCATTTTTCACATGTCAAAATGCATTAAAAAAACTGAACTTTATCTTAGCTCTGCAATGAAGGTATACACTAACAGGATCCTTCCTTTTTTCTTTGGAGAACACTAACGGGATCTCTTGACAAGGATAAATTCCAGTAATTTGGTTGCTTCAGTTAATTGCTTTTTCAATATTTTATCCCAAGGGGGGAAATCTGTGTCCGTCCCGGGTGTAGCCATGCATGTGGAGGTAAATAATTGTAACCAATATTTTTCAGGTTGCCGATTTGCAGCAAAGAAAGTGCAGTGTTATTTTTTACATATCAGTAGTCTTGCAAGGATCTTGGAGTTCTGCGCCAGAGAGATCCCTCATGCGTTACTCATGGGGACAGATATGAATCTGCGAAGATTGACTGAATTAATTGTATTTATTCTGAACCACATCATATCAGCAACTAATGCAGAGTGGTTTTACATGCAAGTCCACATCTTAATCTGAATTCTGAAGTCTGAAAATTAGCAGTGTTTTAGTTATTTTAAGTTGAGACGGTGATCTTGAAAGGTTGCTCAGTTTAGCGTCAGAATCTAAAACGCACTGCTTCTATTGTTGATTTGAGCTAACTCAAGTATAAACCAATATTGTTATATCATGGTATCTTTTTTTCCACAGTACAGTTGTAGAATCGCACGAGACCAAACAAACCTACCAGAGGGGGTGAATGGTAGGGAAAACCAAAAACCCAAAAATCTTTTATGGAATTAAAGATTACCCTCGAACGATGTCGATGACGAAGTCCAGTCGCCGCCGGTCGAACCGCCTACCTGCCGCCGGTCAGACCGCCGCTATCTCACCGGTCAGACCACGCGCACACATGCAGTTAGACCGTCGGGACCCAGAAACACCGGTAGATGACAAACTCGAAGATATAGATTGAAACTTTTCGACTTTATTGCATCAACTAGTGTTTACAAAGTGCACCAATAGCACTCCTCACCAAAATCTTGAACTAAACTCGAAATCCTAACTTTCTCTCAATTCTAGTCTCTCTAGAATCGATACCAGGACCTCACCCTCCCTTTCTATTTATACAAAAAAATCCCCTACTCTATATAACTCCTATAAATAGGACTCAATTCCTCAATTTCCCTTTTCTCCGAAACTGCAGCCGCACCGGCCATCTGAAATCCTGCTCCGGGTCGGACTCCTTCGGATGGATCCTTCGCCAGCTCGCACTCGGTCTCCTCTCGCCGCACGTCCTGGACCGGCTCCAGCAAGCCGCGCGCCTGCCCAACCTGCTGTCCAACCGAAGCCGCTGCTGCTGCCTGAGCCGCCAACACATGCACAGCACAACATGCATGCATCGATCTCCATACATGCACAGCACACGTGCATGCTACATCCACCGAGCCTACACACACATACATGTATCAACACATATATGCATGCATATACTTCTCACCGATTTCTTCCAATCTCCTTCGCGAACACCGACGCTTGCACGCACACCTCGTAAAACCCGTTGCAAAGATCTCTCCCACATAGTGTCCATCCACCGTGTGCCATCTCGTATCCAACTTCGTCACCCGACATCCTTGACCGTCTGGACCTCAACTCCTCCTTGAGTTTAGTCCCGATCCTCACCGTTACCGAAGTTGACCTCCAAGAATCCTGACTCTAGTCACCTTCTCACATGGTATCCCGATCGCACTAGACATCTGTTCCTCCCTGAACATAGTTCCGGTCCTCACCATTGACCAAGGCTGACCTCAAGTCACATGCACACAATCAGACAAAACAACCGTTTCTGGGCACAGATATCACAACCTGACCCACATTAGTGACACGCACTCACACCAACATCCACACATCTTTTCAAACCAATTCATCGATTAAATCATTTGCATAGCCAATTGTTCATCACAAATATTAATCATGACAATGATTTGACAGTACACCAAGATGCTTCCTCATTTTATCGGTGCATATGATAATCTTTAATGTACTAAAAAAATGCATGTGCGTTACAATGGGAAGAAAAGATGACAAAATTGAGGAGAATTTGAGAAAGATTTACATTATGTAATTAACTTAAATACACATTTACTGGAATACTTGATTTTTTTAAGTAGGTAGGTGTTTAAATTAATTTAAAAGTAAAGTAAGTGTGGAAATAAAATGATATGGCTGAATTTAATTTTTATGAAGTTCTCCATGATTAATTACACTCTTTGGAATTTTCTTGAAATTTTCAGATCTCAATTGCTAATTTTAATAATACAAAATCATTTCAACATTTATTTAAACGAAAATCTAAATAAAAACTCTCCATTATCTATGGGCCAATTTCAGCCCATTTCCTTCCTCAGCCCGCAGCCTAGCTGGCCCACTTTTCTCCCTTCTCCTCTCCTCTGCCTCGGCCCGCAAGTACGCATCCGGCCCAGCAAGGCACTACAAGTCTAATCAGACTCCCTCACTCCTTCCCTCACTCCTTTCACTGTCATGTGGGACAATGCTACAGGGTCGTCTC